CTTCGGGGCGCCTGGGGCCTGGGGGAGGGGGTTTCGAGGCGCCCAGCGGCCTTGCGGGTCCTGTGGGAGCTTTCTTGGACCGTCTGGAGGGCTTCGCGGTCCGTCCAGGGGATATATCGGGCCCGCTTCTAGGCCGCCCGGGGCCGTCATCGAGTCACCTAGGGCCATCTTGCTTTCGAAAGCGCGGGCTCATGGCATTTTGCGATGGGTCGCGGCCGCTGTGGTGTGGCTCCGTTACCTTGTAAAGGGAACAGGTCCGTCGGGGGGGGAGGCGCGCGCGGCGGCGCGCTGTTCGGGGGGCTGGGGCTGTTGAAGTACTGCAGAAGCCGTTTCAAACAGTTGATGGCGTTCCATTGCGCCGGTGCGGCAAAGGCGCGGCGGCGGATACGAAGTGGACCCTGTGTGTCGCACGTGCGGGGGTAGCTCTGGAGATCGCCGGTCATTGCTGGGGAGTCGTCGAAACGAGAGGAGGGTTTCGGCCATCGCCTTCCCAGAGCTTCTCGATTAGCATTGCCAGCCTGGAACATATCCCTATCCCTATGCTGGGCATCTCCTCATCACTATGCCGATTTTAGGGATTCCCTTATTTTTTGAGGGCGCATCCCTAAGATTGTCATCGCCTTTTGGCGTGCCAATCTTAGGGATAGGGATAAGTTCGAGGCTGGTAATAGCAGTTGTACAATTCAATTTCTTTGAAGTCAGACCTGCTACAGGTACACGTCGAAGATTTGGTGTCCACGGCCGGCGGGCTTCAGTGGGCGCCCGAGGCCCCAGACGCGTGCCCCGAGGCAGCAGGGTCCCGGTTTTGGGTCTCCGTGGGGCTTGGCATCCTTCGGCCTTCCTGAGGGTGCCGCCCCGGCGCCGCAACCGCGACCAGTCCGGGTCTCGGGCTCGGTCCGGGTGCGTTGCTCGGCCGACATTCAAGAATGCCGCTTGCGGACCAGGACCGTGACCAGTCACGGTCGCGGCGGCATTCTTCGGAGACACTGGTGATGTCGCCAGTCCAGGGCCAGGACCAGGACCAGGAGTGGTCACGGTCTTGGTCTCGGGGCGGCATTTTTCTTCCCGAAGTCCGATGGTGCCGCCACACCAGGGCCTGGGCCAGGACTGGTCACGGTCCTGGTTTTTCCAGGCAGCACTGTCATTCCCGAGTCCCAATGATGCCAGACCAGGACGAGGGCCAGGATTGGCCACGGTCGTGGTCTCGGGACGGCACGCCTGTCCCCCTGCAGGGGTATTTTTGACGAACAAATAAACATTCCACCAAAATAGTTAAAAAATAGTCCAAACATAGTCTGGGGACGATTTTTTGAATATTTTTTGTCCATTTTGGATTTTTTTTTGGGTATTTTTTGTTTTTCGTTGCAGATCCCCCTGCAGGGGACAGGCCCGACTTAAGATTAATCTTCCCGAGTCCAAATAATGTTGCCGGACCAGGACCAGGGCCAGGACCTGGTCACTATCCTGGTTTCGGGGCGGCATTATTATTCCCGTGTCCCAGTGCCGCCCGACCAGGACCGAGACCAGGACTGGTCACTGTCCTGGTCTCGGGGCGGCATTCTTATTCCCCATTCTCAATCATGCCGCCAAGCCAGGACCCGGACCAGAACTGGTCACGGTCCTGGTCTCGGGGCGGCATTCTTTTTTCTGAATCCTCAGAGTGCCGCAGGACCAGGGCCAGGACCAGGATTGGTCACGGTCCTGGTTCCTCGGGGCGGCATGATTAATTCCCGAAGCAGAGTTATGCGGCCGGACCAGGGCCGGGACCTGGACTGGTCGCAGTCCTGGCTTCTGGGCGGCATTCTTTTTCCCAGGGCCCAGAGGGGTCTGGGGGGTCCGGGGGGGTTCGGGGGATGCGGGGGGGGGTCCTGCATGGGGCGGTCCAGGGGGCTAGTCTGCAGGGGCTCCAGGGGGGTCCAGGCAGATCCAGGAGGGTTCGGGGAGGCCCGGAGGAATCCCGAGGGGTCCGGAGGGCTCGAGCGGAGTCTGTCGCCGCGGCCGCCGCGCTGTCGTGGTCGTCGCTGTCGCCGCCGCCGCTGCCGACAGGCGACAGCGACAGCGATGGTGCCGACGGCGGTGACGACGTCAGTGAGCGTCGGCGTCGTCGACGACGACGACGCCGACGACGTCGACGGCGACGACGGCAACGACGACGGCGGCGGTGATGACGGCGACGGCGGCGAAGGCGAGATCCGGGGATGTCAGTTCGGTGGCGGGGGAGTGCGGTTCGGCTCCTGTCGTTTCCGTGTGGGGGGGCCTCCCGTTCTGGTGCGGTTCCGGTTGTGGTCCGGTTCGTTTTAGACGGTTCGGTTCTGCGCGACTTCGGTTTGGTTTGGTTCGGTTTTTGAATCCCTTTTCTTGGCCCAGCTCGGCCCCGTCAGGCAACGGTTCCTCGCTTCTCGGTTCGGTTCTCGGTGGTCCTCCTCTCCTCTCCCTCCTCCGGTAGGTGGTGCTGCCGCTCATCGGTACGGTTATCGGTGGTGCTGCCGCTCGATTCTTCATCCTTCCAGTACTCTCAGTTAGCAGCTGTGCTTCCTGTCATGCCTGTTTTGTTCGAGGTCTGTGCGGTGGGCGCCTGGGGTCTCATTGCTGTGAGTGCCGTAGACACGCTCACGGCGATGCAGGTAGCGGCGATGTAGGCTGCGGCATTGTAGGTGGGGGTGGTTCGTGGCCGACCCACTGTAGGAAACCGTGGTTCGTGGTTTCCTACAAGTCTCCGTGCCGTCTTTGCTCGCTACATTCGAGTTTTTTATACGTAGGAACTTGTGGTTCGTGATTTCCTGCAATTAGTTCTGCACGAGTTCGGCACCGCAAAGACCATATTCCCAACATCGCCGTTAACACACATCGCCGTTAGTGGGAGTGCTTCAGTTTCTTTGCTCACTATTCTCTTGGGGTGGCTAAGCCCAGGGAAAGGTCGGACGAGTGTATCTTACGTCCAAATTTCGTTGACAGGTCCAGCGTTTGGGCATTGAGTTTCGATTGACGAGGTATTTCATGAGATCCGCACCCATGCGGCTCAAGGGTGAAACGTTTACTCGTCGCTCTGCTCCTACAGGGTGGCGCTGTTTCGCAGTCAGGGCTGGGCGGGTTCGTGGTTTCGGGATTTACAGAGAGACTGTGGCTGTGGAAGCGCGGTCAAATCGTAATTTCTCAGGTCTTGTGGCCTCGGGGGCGCGAGCCCGTTGTGATTGATCAAATGTTGTGGTTTCAGGAACGCGAGCGCGTTGTAGTTTGCCATTGATTGTGGTTTCGGTCGCGCGGGTTCGTTGCAGTGTTTCAGGCAGTGCTGCTTCGGGGGCACGTCGCTGTCGTGTCTTAGAGGGACGCAGCCTCGGCAGCGCGAGTCTGTCGTAATGTAGGACGGGTTTTGGCGTGGGGCTCGCGAGCGCGTTCTAATTTGCGACGGGTTGTGGCCTCGCGAGCGCGAACTTCTCGTAATCCGTAAGGGCTTCGCCCCCTGCTGCCTGCCCCCCCCCCTCTCTCGGAGAATGGGGTATATGCAAGAGCTATGCTGTGAGGTCGGGTCGCCGTCGTGAGGCAGGGTCGGAGCTCCCCGAACGGGGGCCTCTTCAGATATCAGGGGAACGAAGGATGACACAGACATACGAACTCGGCGGTCCGCGCGGATTTCTCGGATCCGCGCTGGGGACTCTTGGCGGCGCCTCCGGCGGCGCCCCTGGCGCGCTCCGCGCGCCAGGCAGGGGGGGTCCAGCCCCGATCCGGGCAATCCGCGCGGACCTCCGAGTTTTTATGTTTATGTCATTGCTTGTTCCCCTAGATATCCAGGTGCGCATTGCGTAATCTAAGAGAGAGAGAGAGAGAACAACAAGAGAGAGAGAGAGACAAAACAAATTATTGCCTCGGAGGCGCGGATATTGCATCATTTACCAGGAATTGTGGTCTCGGGAGTGCGAGCACAGCGTAATTTGCAAGTGTTTATGGCCTCGGGGGCGCGAGCATGGTTTGATTTACTATGGATTATGGCCTCGGGGGTGTGATTATGGCGCAGTTTTTACAAGGGTCATGTCTTCGGGGGCGCGAATGTCGTGTCTTCTTGCGGATCCCAGGACTCCCCAGAAATTTCGAGAACTCCCCCAGGTGAAGGTAACCAGGGTCCTTTTCGGCTCCCCCCCTCCTCGCGCGGCTTTCAACAATTTACGGTAGGAGGCAGGAGCCAGGACTGTAACACGGGAGACTTGGAACTGGAACCGGAGCAGGTGATCGTTTCTTATTCGTTGTTTTGCCAATCGGCGCGGGCCCGCGTACCCCCCCCCTCCCCCCCCATGGAGTAAATAAGAAAACGCTCACGAGGGAGCAGCAGGCCTGATCCCCGGAGCCTGGTGGCCCCACGAGGGGGGGCCGGCGGAGTCGCACGGGGCCGTGGCCGCGGGAACGCGAGCGCGCCGTAAGTCGCAAGGCACTGGGGCCTCGGGAAGCGCGAGTGTGCTGTACACCTCCTCCTCCTCCTCCTCCTCCTCCTCCTCCTCCTCACCTCCTCCTCCTCCTCCTCCTCCTCCTCCTCCTCCTACAGTGGAGGCCCATGCCAAGAAACGCCCTGCTTGCCTCCAGGATGCCCTGGGTTTCTTGAGTTTCGACGGTTTTGCGATGGAAAGCGTGACGTGCCCACGCCAGAAGTCAATGGACGTCCTGGGGTCTCGGGGTTGGGTTTTTTTTCTGGAAGGTTTCTCGTGGTCGGGCCCTCACTGTATTGGGCGCCACGAGAAATTCCGAGAGCTCCACTCTGGAAGGGGAACGGGTTCCTTTTCGGGCTCCGTCTTTCGGGTATGTCCCCCTACGGGTGGAATATTCAAAGATAGCCAGATCATGGTCAGAGGACGATGTTGTTTGAATTTTTTTTGGCTATATTTGAGCATTTTTTCTTGGGGGGGCTATTTTTAATGTTTCGTCCAAGATCCGCCGACCTAGACCTTCGCACAGATGTCGATCATCACATGATTGGAGCTAAGAGTGAGATCATGTATACATTCAGTTTGGGAAGGGGAGTTGCTGCATGGAGCAGGAACGTATACGCCTCGCAGCCTGTTGGCCCCCAAAGGGGCCAGCGGAACCGCAACCATTTTGGTTCAAGCGAGAGGCCCAAATCCAGGCGCATTCCAGCGAAACGAACTTAGCGTTTAGCCCAGGGTAGCGACAATTTGGGCCCGATCATGTTGGACGATCGCGCCTGGCTTATCATACTTATCCCCGTCAATTTACTGACGCTCGTTGTCATTACCTGGCGGTTTCGTGGCTCTGGGCTGTGTGGCGTCTTCCCTCGATGGAGCTCAGTTTATGTTAATTTCAATGCCACGGCGAAATGGCTACTCTTCATGTCACCACCGCACCCGTTGCATCGTCAATTGAAGGATATGGCGGACAAACGATTGTCGGAGCAAGTGGTCTGGGGGTGCCCTAGGATACTCTGCTTTGCTTTTTGCTATAACATGGTTCAACTGGTCCAGAATGACATGTCCTCAGCGGCCCGCCTCGGCAACATGGCTCTGACTACATTCCTTATGGCAGGTACTCTAAAGCCACGTTTGCTCACCCCTACTATCGTGTTCTTGTTCCACGTGCTCCTGTATATTGTCGTCTTGTACCTTGCTATCACAGCCGAAAACAGTGTCGCTTTCTTGAAAGCCAGTCCAGTCAGAATCTGCGAACGCATTGCAGTGAGCATTGTTCATTGCAGACCTAGGCTGACTCTTGTTTTGGGTCTTGTGTACACTGCAGCTGTTGCGCCAGTGTACGACCCCGCCGACATACGTCAGGAGTTGATTGTTTCGCTCCTCATTTTCGCCATAACAGCATCCGTCAGAAAGTCTCGCGACGCTGAATTTTTGGCAATGTTGGAGGCGAAGACGTCGCGAAGTGTTGAGTCCACAGCGGGCGGGCTCTTGTCAAGTGTGTGCGACGCGGTGGTGCATCTGTCGCACGATTTTCTGTTCTCGAAGCCAGCCGCGCACCTTGCAACACTGCTTCTCAGATCCCCGAAAACTATGGGTGTCGGTGTCTCATTTGTTGATCTAGCCTTCGACGCTTCCGAGAAGGACCGTGTGATTACATTCTTGAAGCAGTCAATGTCTGATACTAGCACCGTTCATGTTTCTTTGAAAGATTCATGGGGCATGCCGGTAAATTTTCAGCTATTCCATGCCCAGGGCATTAACATAGACGACGAGCCGATCCACATAGTGGGTCTGAAGGAGGATTCCGATTTTCTTCGAGCGCCGCCTGAGAGCGAGCTTCGCGATAGCCCAGTGGTCTCGCCTGCCGACCGTTTCGCAGGAATCTCTGAAGACTCGATCAGTTTCTCAGGGAGCTTCTCTTCGAGGGTACCGATCGGCACCCATTCTGCGGGAATGACTGTCCACATTAACCCAGGAGTCGACGGTTTGCCTATCTTGCAGTGCTCCCCCGAGTTCTTGAGTCTGAGTGGACCTATATGCGAAGGCGCAGGGCTGCTGCCGTGGGTCATCAATAAGAGGGCGTTTATGAACTGGGCCAAGGTGGCCTACAACAATATTATGGATGATTATGAGTTTGGCGACGGTGCGAAGGATAAGAAGCCTGGTATGGAGACATTCAATATCCGTCTCAAGCTGCCCCACATGGGCTTGACAGTCCGCGAAATATCTGCGAACGCAGTCTTGAGATTGGATTTCGCAGAGGACCAGGGCAGCGACGTGACCTCTTCTCCACGAATTTTGCTGGTGCTAGAGGACGTTTTCTGCGTCCGCAGGAGATCCTCCTCGAAGAGACGCTGCCAGGAGAGTTTAGAGTTGCCAGCAATCTTGACGCTGTGAAATGTTGTAGTGACTCAACAGAGCGAGGAGGGCCTGCCAGCCGTTTCCTCTTTGGAGGACAGGACGAGGGGATGATGATAATCAGGGGTCGCGCTGGGAGGTGCCAAGGCTGCTCGGACATCCGGATCGTTTACATCAGGATGACTGGACTTCGGAAATATCCAGCTGCCTACGGCACGGTCCCGCCACCGTGCCTGGGTTGTGGGTTATAGGCCTCCTGGGTGTTCGTTGGGGTATCGTGGGAGGCCTCTCGGGGTCCTGTTGGAGGCAGTCTGAGGCCTGTTGGGTGCCATCTGGGGGCCTCTTCGGGGTGTCTCTTGGCCTACTGGGGGCCTCTTGGAGGCCTCTCGGGGCTTGCAGGCCTCTTGGGGCCTCCTGGGGGCCTCTTCGGGCGGAAGGCTGGAATTGTCGGTTCGTGTTTGTCCTCTTGGTCCCATCTTTGTGTCGTCTTGAGGCTCCATTGGGCTGTCTTGGGCGCCTCTTGGGCCTTTTTGGGGTTCTCTTGGGACCGTCTTGGGGATCTCATGTGCCGTCTTGGGGGCCCCCGGGGCCGTCTTGGAGCGTCGGGCGCTCGAGAAGGCGATGACGTGAAATACATTGAAAACCATGATGAAAATCAATGATTTTTGCTCATTTGGGCTCGCCCTTGAGGCTTCATTGGGGTCTCTTGGGCCGTCTTGGGGCCATCTTGAGCGTCGTGGAGCGCTCTTGGCCTGCCTTGGAGGCCTCTTGGGCGGCCGCGGTGGGCTTCCTGGGCCGTCATGGAAGCTTTGGAGAGCCCCAGGGATGCGCCATGGCCGCTCAGGGACCTCTGGGAGCAGGGGTGGTGCAGTCTCCTGGGTACTACCGGAGCGGGTTGGGGGTCCCTTCGAAGATTGCAGAAACCCTGCCAGGCAGCCCTTGGCATTCTTTCACGCCTCAACGTGCCGCAGGTACGGTGGCGGATAGGTTCCCCCAGCCGTTGTCGAACCCCTTGGGGGAACACTTCGGAGAGGAAGAGAATGGAGGAGGAGATTGAGGAGAAGGGGGGTGAGGAAGCAGGGCGCGCCTCCAGAGGCCCTCTTGGGGTTCCTGCGGTCTTCTTTGGGAGCCTCATTGAGGCCACAGGTGTTCTTGGGGCCTCCTGGGGCCTTCTCGGGGGCCTCATGGAGCCTCTAGTATGCCCCGTGAATGCGTCTGGGGGGGCACGTCTTGGCCTTCGAACTTCGGAGACCATCTTGATTGGTGCTCTCTTGGGCCGTCGTGCGGGCCTCTTGGGCGCCCTTTGGGCCGTCATGGGGGGCAATCTTCGCGGCCTATGGGGCCGCCTTCGAGTGTCGAAAACCCGAAAAGACGAGGACACGACAATCATGGACACACATATAGACAATGAGTGAAGTTGCCCTCCTGAAGGTCCTTCTTGCAGGCCTCTTTGGGACCTCCCAGGCCGTCCTGGGCAATCTGATGCCCATCTTGGGGCGTCACGGGTGCGTCTTGGGCCGTCCTGGGGGCATATCCAGGGCCTCTTTGAGCCGTGCGATTGTTCTTGGAGGACATCGTGGCCGCATTGGGTGCCCTCTTGCGGCTTTCTTTTTGTTGGAAGACCGGCGGGATAGGACATTTGACGCGGTTTCGCGGATTCGGGCGAAGACCCGAAGACCAAACCAATCAGAAGTCTGGCACTCTGTCAGGGTGTTAGAGTGTGGTTGTTGGGTTTAGGGCATGCGGCGAGGGTGTTATCGTGAAGGTGTTCGTGTGTAGGACTACGGTATTACCGTAAGGGTGTTGGGGTTCGGATTTCTGGGTTGGGTGTTCGGACCGGGTTGTTAGGAGCAGGGTGCCAAGGTTCGAGTATAGGGGCGTGTGAATCAGGGCTAGGGGTACAGCGTTCGGGCGGTAGGGTGTTACAGTTCTGATGTTCGGGCTGGGGGGTCAGAGTTCGGGCGATATTGTGATATAGTCTTAGGGCGTTTGGGAAGACGCCACGAGATCGGACGCCTGCCACCTAATACCATCGTCGGGGCTGGCTAGAACCTCAGCGCGCGCGTTTCGCGCGTGGTTCTAGTATTTGTGGATGTGAGTAAGTAAGTGAGTGAGTTATGTTATGATATAGTATGGCATGCCATGTTATGTATGCATACATATATGTAGGTATGTGTGCATGCATGTATGCACGTATGTA